CACACACACTGTCACACACACACGGTCACACACACACTGTCACACACACACTGTCACACACACACTGTCCCACATACACTGTCCCACACACACTGTCACACACATTGTCGCACATACACTGTCACACACACACTGTCACACAGACTGTCACACACACACTGTCACACACACACTGTCCCACACACACTGTCACACACACACTGTCCCACATACACTGTCCCACACACTGTCACACACACTGTCACACACACACTGTCACACATACACTGTCACACAGACACACATGCACACCCCCCACCCCCACCTCACATGCACCCCTGTCCCCAGCACACACACAGTGGCCACACCAGCATTCCCTGCAGTATTCCAGCTCCCCCTTCCTGCACACCCCAAGCCCACCAAACCCCCTGTTCAGCCCTGGCCAGGGCTGTCAGTGACCAAGGCACATACAGGCTCGTGCCAGGGTCACGCATCCCACGTGGGCTGTGACACAGTCTGGTGTTACCAACACAGACATCTGCAAGGGCTCCTTGTACCAGCACAGGTAAACAGCAAACCATGAGCCCACCCAGGGCACCGAGCCCCCCAGAGCCCTGTGCCCACCCAGATCTCTGTGCTCACCAGGAGCCCTGAGCCCACTCATAGCCCTGATCCCCCCGTGTCCCTGTGCCCACCTGGAGCCCTGTGCCCAGCTCTCCAGGCAATGTCCTTGTGGTGCAGCTGCTCCTTTGCAAACTCACAGCAAAACAAACAATTTTCCTGATACTTTCCAACCTTTTGATGGGATTTTCATTAAGGGAAGGAGTAGGGGAAAAAACCCTATTGAAGGGAAGGATTTTTCTTCAAGTGTTTGCAATGGATTTCCTTCCCCTGCTAGATACAGCTCTGATCCCACTTGTCCTGCTGAAACCCCTCATGTAGGTGGCAACAGAATCCATGGATGAATGTCCTGGCTGGCAGCCAACAAGATGCTGCTCTTGGAGGCTCCCCCAGGCCAGAGGGCTGCCAGCCCAGTGCTCGTGTGAGCTACGGATATGTGCAAATGAAACGGTAAAAAAATCCTGCTTGTGCATCCCTGTCTTCTGGAACATTCCCAGGCCCTCAGCGAGCAGATGAGTGGTGATGCCCGATCCCTGTCATCAGCTCAGGATGGCTCTGAGCAGTTGGAACAGCTTCTTGGGAGAGCTTTGTGCTTAGCACAGGCTCATGTCAGTGAAGGTTCTGTTGGTTAATGAGTGCGGAGGTGTCCTGCTGCTGGGAGACCGGGAAGAACCTGACAGGGATTTGCCCATCCTGCTTGGCTGGTGGAAGCACCGTGCGAATGAAAAGTGGTGGTGGGGAATGGGAGGATGATACTGCCCCTGTGTCACCTGCCCCAGGCGTGTCACCTTCCCTCATGTCACCTGCCCCAGGTGTGTCACCTGCCCTCATGTCACCTGCCCCACATGTGTCACCTGCCCTCATGTGTCACCTGCCCTCATGTGTCACCTGCCCCATGTGTGTCACCTGCCCCAGGTGTGTCACCTGCCCCATGTGTTTCACCTGCCCCAGGTGTGTCACCTGCCCCAGGTGTTTCACCTGCCCCAGGTGTGTCACCTGCCCCAGGTGTGTCACCTGCCCCATGTGTTTCACCTGCCCCAGGTGTGTCACCTGCCCCAGGTGTGTCACCTGCCCCAGGTGTGTCACCATGTGTGTGCAGCTGCTCTGGCCGGCGGGTGCTGAGCAGGGCAGCAGGTCATGGGCAGCACCCCCAGCCCAGGGCAGGGGGGCAGGTGGGGGCACTGGGGTCATGTTCTTTCTCTCTTCAGCACCACAATTTCAACTTTTTCATTCAGAAGTTGGGTTCTTATAGTTACCAGGAGATGTGGGAGCCAGGACCTGCAGCACCTGTGTGTGTATTTGCTGGGGGAATGAACACTGTTTCCACCTGGATTTTCTTGGGCTGCTGCAGGAACTGGAGAAGAAAAGACCTAAGAAATACCAAAGTCCAGCTCCTGCCATGAATCTTTGTGCTTTGTGTTTTCTTCTGCATTTTCTTGTCCACTTTTGCTTTAATAAAGCAAAGAGAATTTCACTGTGTTCACAGTCCCACAGAAGCTGTCCCTGAGGCTCCTCTCAGGGTGGCCAAGCCCTGGAGCAGGGACCCCTTTGGTGTCGCAGCAGGGAGCCAACCACATCCACGTTCCCCTGCAGACTCTCTGGCTCTGCTCTGGCTCATCTCAGAGGTGTGGGGGCTTTTGGGCCGGCTCAGTCTGAGTCAGAGCTCAGACCATCAGCTCCTGCCCAAGGCAGCAGATGGAGGACAAGGGACACACACTTGGCATTTCCCTGAGAGCAGTGTTGTACATGGCTGGGCCCAATTCCATGACAGAGGGTGCAGAATAAGGGATGCTGCCTTTAGTGAAGGCGGGAGAGACTCTTCCTCAGTCCTGTGTCATGCCAGAAGGTGGGATCAGGCGGTGCAATGGCATGTGGCATTCCCAAGGCAAACCTGTACCCTCCTGAGCCTGTCAGGTTCCTGCCAGCACCCCCTGCCTCAGCAGGAGCGAGAGCTGGGGCAGTGACTCTCCACTCAGAGAGGCCATGGATGAGTGGAGAACGGGCAGCATCCATGTGCTGTTGCCATAATGTTCAAGAGGCTCTTTGTGCTCAGCTCAGGGAACAGGGCCCTCAGTCACGGCCATCGGGCTCAGCCAGGGAGGCAAATCCCGCAGGACACTCCCTGCTCCGAGCCCTGCGGGGCCGGGGGGCCGTCACCGTGCTCTGTAGGGATGCTGAGGGGTACCCCAGGGATCACCAGCCCCCCGGGCAGTCCGAGAGCTGCTGCCCTCACAGTCCTCGTGGGGTCCCTCCCCTTGCTGAGCTCCCACCTTGGATGTTTTAATAATATATGTTAAAGATATCTGTATCTATGTAAAATAAAGGTGTGGCCCATTTTCTGTCACTAAAGATATTTATTGTGTGATGCTCTGAGAGGGCACACTGAGGCACTGAATGCTCTTCAAGAAATGAGTCAGAATGTACCAATTTAGTAGAAACTTCTAATTTAATTATTCTTCTGGCTGAGTGCTGCCCAGTTTGCAAAGGTCCTCCCTTTCATGGCATGCACAGAGCACATACTGGAATAGGCTGCTGTTGGTACTGGCTCCTCCAGGTTTCCTGTGGCTGCTTGTAGTTAGGCAGGGATGGTGTTTGCTCTTGGGGAACGATGGAATGTCCTTTGTTTCTGTCCTCTTTGACTGCACAAAGTGTCCTCGCATGTTCAGGCAGAATCCTGGGATTACAGAGAGGTGTCTGTGCTCTACCTGTCTCCAGACCTGGGGCAGGCAGGGTGCTCCAGCCCCTCCGGGTGGGTTGAAGCCTCCCCGTGCCCAGCGGTGCCTGCTCGCCTCCAGCTCATTCCCTGGGGCAGCAGAGGGACCCTGTGCTTGTGACTCACAGAGAAAATCTCTGCACCCACATAAACCCTCAGCAAGTGGATGAAAGCCGCTCTCTGTGCTGGATGTTTGGTGTTCTGTGGCAATTTTATGCTGTTTCTCTTTGTTAACATGTCTCTGTAATAATAAGAGTTCTCAATTTGATATATTTTATTTTCTTTGTATTAAGCCAAAAAGCTCCTTGCTGGTGCCTTTTTGCCTGGGGGGCCCTCCCAGCCCACAACTGTGTTCCTGAGAGGAACAAAGGGCAGTGTCTCCAACTGTTCCTTCCACCAGAGCTGAGGGAAAGTGGGAAGCCAATGCCTCAGAACTGGCAGAATGAAAAGAACCAGAGGCCTTGGAATGGCAGAGACTTTGGGGTAGGTTGCCGGTTCTTTCCCGGGGCGTGGCTCCAAGGCGAGGGCTGAGCACGACACTGGGACACCTTGGCCCTGTCTCAGTGGGACTGGGGCTCTCGAGGCCCCGTGGTGTGGGCACAGCACACGCAGCTTGGGCCAGCCCCACTTGGAATCAGAGGGCTTTGCCCAGATTATTGCACCTGAGGGCAAATCCTCCAGAAAAGGACAAAAGGATGTTCTTAGATTGCTGCTACAGCTCTTTGATTTTTTAATTGGAACGGAATGCATTGGATAAGGAAAATAGACCCTACAGTGTTCCGGTGCCACGAGGGCCAGAGCACAGTGACAGACGCTGCCGGGGCCGGCGGGATGCAGTGCAGGATGCCCAGGGGACAACTGAGTCTCAAGTCCCTGTACAGGACTGAAGGCCATTTACTTGTGTAACCAAAGAGAGGAGCCTGTCTGGCACTCAGGTAAAGACAAACCAATGACACCGGGCTTGGGGTAAATGAAAATTCTCCTTTTTGGCTCTGTCAGCCATGCCTGGGTCTCATGTGAGCCCTCGGCTCTGCCACAGGGCGGCCCCTCACGCTTGGTGTTCAGCTCTTTTTGTAATCTGAAAATTTGCTGTTGTTCTGAGTCCAATAAATGCAGAATCTGGTTTGCTGGAGCTCTGCCCTCTGCCTGCCTTTGGCTTTTGTGTTGTTTTTGTGCGTGAAATCACTGTGGGTGTGACAGCTGTCAGCGAGTGAAGGCGCCGGGAATCAGTGGGTCATTTGTCAGTGGATAAGGCTGTACATTGGGTCGTTGTAGGCTTTTTTCACAGTCAGATTTCGCTATTAATCACATGTCTGAACTGGTAATTCAGTTACAGAATTGACTAATCCTTTCATATATTCCTCTTTGGGTCTTTTAAATTGAATTTCATTTGATTAATGTACTTCTCAAAACAAGAAGCTAATAAAGGCCAGTGTCCTCCTCCTTTTGTTGTTGTTTTTGGTAACTTTATGAGTAATTGTAAATCCATTCTGCTGGAACGTCTTTATAAAATTGACCTGTGCTCTCTAAGTAATAAAGAAGATGCTTATCAGCCACTTGTAAATTCAAGGCACAGATGTGAACCCTGCTCAGGGCCAAGATTTGATTAACTGAGACAAAGCAAAGAACTTGGAAAAAAGCCACCCCCATCAGGCCACAGATAAGTGACAATGCCTGGTGTGTAACTGCACGGCAGTTCCACACACCGTGCCCCAGGAGATGAAGCACAGAGAGCTGAGAGCACAAAAGCCTTGGCATCAGGGTTAGTCACATGCAGGGAATCTGGTCCCATCCCTCACTCTGAGGCACAGGGAAATATTGATGTGTTATTTTCAAAATTTGCCCTTAGTGGACACTGGGAAGGCCATCACTGTGCAGGGCTGTGGTTGTATCTCGGGTACCTGATGGCATGTCAGCCCCAGTGTCACCTGCCAAATGGTCACTGGCCACCAGCGTCCAGAGGAACACGCAGGAGTCACTGGTCAGTGCATTGTGGGTGATCCACTGAGGGTCCCAGTCCCTCGGTGGCTACACATTCCTGGGCTTACACCAGCCTTGGTCTCTGGCAGCCCTGGACTCGTGTGGCCTGAACAGTCCATGGGAGGACAGCGAGGGAACCAGTCCGAGGGTTGCCAGGGTTGGGACTGCCAAAGGGCAAATGCACCTCACTCAACTCCTTCTTCCCTGTTATGTTCCAGCTGTCTCTGCTGTGCATCCTGCATCCCACACTATGCATCCTGCATCCCACATCCCATATCCCATATCCCATATCCCATATCACGCACCCTGCATCCCTCATCCTGCATCCCTCCTTCTGCATCCCACATCCCTCATCCTGCATCCCTCCTTCTGCATCCCACATCTCACTCCCCACCACCAGGCACCAGGACCTGCAGGTCACTGTGGAGCTGCTCCCGCCCCGACCGTTCCGAAGCACCGGAGCCGCGGGGCCGGGCAGGGCGGTGACAGCCACTGTGCCAGCACCGGGGCTGAGCCACATGCCGGAGGGTTCCAGAGCTGCCCTTGGAGATGCCTCTGCTCCCCAGCAGAGTGGCACAGGGCTCTCTGGAGAAAGTTCAGTTACCAGAAAGAAGAAGAAAACTGAAAACATGGAAACATCATGAAAGCCCCAAAATGGCCCCGTGCTTTAAGGCCGTTTGCTTATCCTTGTCCTCAGAGCAGCCAGTGGGAAATTTTTAGAACAGAAAAGTGTTCTGTTTCCTAAAATGATGACGAACTGTGTCAAACAGCCCTTTGGGCAGCAGTTCCCCTCCCCAGGGGCCCACGAGCGCCAGCACTGTGACCCCACTGAGCTGGCAGCCAGCCCGTGTGCCTTCCAGGCTGTCAGGGCTGTGCCCGCGCTCCCAGGAACGAGCTGGTGGCAACCGCAGCCCTCAGCGGGGTCACGGCGACTCGGATGCCCTGACATGAGGGACGTCGGCCAACACTGGGGCTTTCTCCGTACCCAAAATCGCCGCCGCCTCCGCCCGCCGGCCGTGGGCAGGCGCCAAGGGGAGGGCGAGCAGGGCCCGGCGTGCCCCACGTCCTGTCCCCACTAGAGCAGAGTGACCACAGTGGCACGGTGGGGTGGCACGGTGAGGTGACACGGTGCAGTGGCACAGTGCCGGGGACAGCCTGCAAGGCCAAGTCACCAAAGGGAGCCAGGGTGTGCAGCACGCAGAGTGAGGGAGGACAGAGCTGTGGGAGGATGGAGCTCCTGTGGGTTTTCTTTGAGCCAACATGAGAATGGCCACGTTTTATACAGGATTTCAAGAATCTTCAGAACTTCTGCCTTGCAGGAGCCCTTAGGACCTCTGAGAGAGGTTGTTTAAGCACTTCTGAAAACACAAAGAATGAGAAACATCACAGCTTTTACTGGTTTAAAGCATCTCCTGACTGTTTAAACCAATCGTAGGATTTTTTGGCGTCCTGACCTGATTTACAGCTGTGTGTATGGGACAAGAAACCCACTGAGGACTGCCAGGAACCCACTCGGCACAGGGAGCTGCTCCCAGCTCAGGGTGTCCAGATGGGTAATTGTGCAGTGGGGTGGGCCAGGGAGAGCTACAGAGCTGAAAGCTCTGATCCTGCAAGGAGTCCCACGTGGGTGGATTCCAGCGCCTTCATGGGTCTCTGTGCAACACATAAATTTCAGATGTCAGTGCTCCACTAAGTACATTTCAATTCTAAATTTATCAAACAGATGTGTCTGCTGCAGCGTCTTTGGCCTCTCCAAATTCTTCCTCTGAGAAGAACTCTCTGAGGCCCAGGCTCAAGCTTTGGAACTGCTTGTTTTGTTATCTTCTGTCTGTATAAAAAGCTACAAGGCTTTACTTGTGCTGGAAAATCATTTTCTTGCTCAGAATAAATCCAAATGTTTTCTGTAAGAAAGCAAACCAGGCAGCTGTGGGTTGGGAGACAAGGATTGTTGGGGCAGTGCCTTGGTGCTCATTCCAGTTCGTAATCACTTAATACAAGGGCTAATGGCAAAAAAACCCGTTTAGTTTCCCAAATGCCGCTATTTTGAAGGCATCCAGCTTTGGAAAAGTTACAGCTCCAGGAGAAAACATTTCAGAGAAACTAGGAGCCAGAAAAAACAAGCAGAAAAACCTCAAGCTGCTGCTCCAGCTGCACTGCATCCGTGCCCACCCCAGGAGTGCTCCAGCCCAGAACCGGGGCACAGCACAGCCCTCTGAGCCGGCAAACCCGGCCTCGTGCTGCCTGTCAGAGCCCTCGGCGAGGGCTGGGCTGGTACAAAATAATTTTAGGAGGATCCGAGAACAGCAACCAGCCCTGAGAAGTGTGGGTGGGAATGCTCCCCTGCTCCAGCTGGGGACTCTCATGGCCGTGGGGGCAGCTCAGCTGCCCGTGTCCCCAGGAACACCCTCCTGCTCTGGCACCCTCCAGCGTGGTCACCTTGTCAGGCTTCTCCAGAAACCCAGACTCCAAAGCTAGATGCAAGATTCCCATTTCAGACAGAGAAAGCTGCTGTCTCCTGAAAGGGCTCGCTGGTGAAGAAAAGCAAGGGGCCTGAAAAGCAAACACTGGTGCACAGTGTCAGAGTCATGAGGGGTGGGAAAACAGATGTAAGGAGAGGAAAAAGGTGCTGGATAGATGGAAAGAAGCTGGTGCTGGTCACTTCAAATCCGAAGCCTCAGTGACTCACAGCACAGGACACTGTCCTGGCATTGTGACAGCACAGGAATATTCAGCCTCTGCAGGACAGCTTCTCGTGTCAGAAAATGCAGAAACCCGGGGCTGGGGACTGCAAACACAGAGTGGGGCCATGCAGAGCCCAGGGCACTCCCAGTCCCACGGACACAGCCCTGGGCAGACTCCCTGGGGTGCAGGGCCAGGACCCCACTGGGGACCTGCCCACAGAAAGAGCAGCAGCAGGGACAGCACTCAGGCACTGGAAAAAGAGGAACAAAACACACTGGGACAGTTCTGTTTGACTTCATGGAAATTTATAAACACTTGTAGCAACCTACGCTTGTACACACAAAAACAGCTCCCAGGCTGATGCCAGGGGGCTGCCACCCACACGGGGCAATCCCGAGTTCCCAGCTGTTGTTCCTGTGGCAGCAGGAACTGTGCCCAGAGCAGCAGGGACTGTGCCCCTAGGCAGCAGGGATTGGGCCCCACAGCCCCCCTCAACCCCAGCCCCCCACCACTCCACTGCTGGTCCCATGTTCAGCTGTGCCCACAGAGGCGGAAAAGCCAGCACAGACACACAAGAGACAAAGGGTTTTAAAAGGACACCATGAAATATGTCTGCAAGAAGCTGCTTCCTCCCCAGTGTTCACACTGTGAGACTGAAACTCAACTGCTCTCAGACCCCCTGCCCGTGGAGCCCGGCTCTGTCTCGGGGGTCTGTGCCAGGCAGTGGGTGTGAGCAGGAGGGGGATGTGACAGCCACTGCTCCTGCAGGGTGGGTGCTGGGGGTGTCCCCTCCAGAGCCACCCATAGCAGAACCCTGGGAGCTTCCCAAACTGACAGGCTTGAGGGGTCCCTAAAGCACAGCCCTGAGCAGGGAAGGAAGCTGGGAAATGCTGGCCTTGTGTGTGAGAGCCACCAGCCTGACAGCCCTGGGACAGTCACCCCAGGAGGGGACGAGGTTGCCACTGGGCTAGTCAGAGCAGCTCTCTCTGACTTCACCTTCATCCTACTTGCTCCAAGACACCCGTCCTGGAGCTGCTGGCAAGGGGCTGCAGCAGGAGGGGCCCAGCACACCCCAAGTGCCACTAGTGCCTGTGGCACAGTCTCAGCCACCACAGCACAAGGCTGGTTTGGTTTTAAAGCCTCTTTCATGTACCAGATCCAAAGAAGGGAGCAACTGGGGCACTGCTGAAGCCGAGGGAGCAGGAGCACCATGGACACGACGTGTGAGCACCAGCGTGTGACATCCAGCAATAACAGACACAAGATCACACACGAGGCAAAGCCCCGGGAGACGGGAAGGATGGCGGCAGCATCCCATCGGAAAACCTGCGCCGGGCAGGACACAGCGTGCACAAGGGATGGAGCACCCAGGAAGCAGCTGGTGGAATGTTTGGCCACTCTTTTGGAATGCTCCCAGCACCTAAGTAAAATCATTCAAAATGGGGAAATTCCCTTTGGGCTGGCAGAGGAAGCAGGGGAGCCACAGGCTGCTGTGTATGGCCCCGGAGCTAGAGCTGCAGACAAGCCTCTACTGCTACGGGGGTGCATGGGGTGGTCCTGGCCAGGGACAGCTCCTGGGCCAACAGGCATTGCCCACAGGACCACTGCCGAGGGACAGACTGGGCATCTCAGACTGGAAATCAATAAACAAGAAAACAAGAAACTGGGCAGCTCTTAGAAAAATGGTGGGTTTGACCCACATTCAGTGAGTTTCAGATCCTCAGCACCTCTGTGCTAGCCCACCAGAATCACCCCAGAACAGACTTCTTGGTGTGCCTGTG